ATTTACAGTTTAGTTGGCTAATTTTTAACCATAAGTTTTATTTTTAAAATAAAATCTTCTCGTTTATGGAATTTTTCGGAAAATTTAAATATTTCACTGTAATCTTTTAGATGCAATGTCAATCAATATCTACTGCCCTTTATGAATACTCATCTTTTGTTCTTGTTCCTTTCATTATGTTTTTTTTTTTTTAATTTTTCACCACTAATTTATTTATTCATTGATTTTATTATTGAATTTTTTTTGAAAAGAAAAAAAAATTTGATTATTATTGATATTTTTTAAACTTATATTTAAAAAATTTTCATATAAAAAAATAAGGTAATAATATTTTTAGATAAATTAACGAGATTTTCATTAAATTTTATATATTCTTTATGCAAATTTTTCGAAAGTTAAATATTTCATAAATATTATGTTGCATCCAGAGAGTTTAAAAATAAACGTGGACGATAAATTTATGATATACTATCTTTATAAACATCGCTATAAGACAAGTACCTTTTATGCCGATGGCCTGTGTATCTCTGAAAAAATTAATTTTTATCGTCGTCACACATTTTATTACGATTCATTCATATGGATACATTTTAATCGATATATTTAAAGATTTTATTATTCCATTTTAATGGTTGAATTTCTATTCTAATTATATTTAAGTTCATTTATTTTTATAATTCTTTCATATTTAATTATATTTTAATTGATTATCATCTTGTTTATAATATTTTTCATTTTCGATTATTTTAATCTTGTAATAGTTCAGTCATATTCATAATAGATCAATCATATATGACAAATCAATGTCAATAGTTTAATAATACTTTAATAGCTTATTCAGTGCTTACATTCGTAGCAATGTTCTCATTTTTTTTTTTATCATCAAAACCTTTTGGTTTTATTTGTGCCCTCAGACTTTTTTAGATGTCCGCCGATAACGCGTAGCCTTCAGGTAATTTAGTACTGAACCCCTTTTTAAGATGTAGATTGTTTTGTCTCCATCGAGTCTAAATCTGTATTTTAATTCCAAGTATTTAAAGAAATTTAAACTTAAAATTTGGAACGTAAAATCGAATATTCTTATTGCCTATCTGTTTTATTGCTGTCATGCTTAACCTCCTTCGCCGATTTTATTTTTTTACGTTTGATTTTTGAAAATCTTCTGTTTCTAATATTTTCTAGTTTTTTTCAAGAAAGATGTTTCCATCAATACATGATTTTTGAATTGCAGATTTCATTGTCTCGCCACTAATTATTACTTTTTAATATTCTTCCTTTAATCTGATTCTCAGGGGGCGATTTCTTTATTAAATGGCAAAATTTTAAATGAAAAAAAATATTTGAAGGCCAATTAAAAACAAAACAATGGCGGCGTTGTTTTGGCCAATGTCTTTTCTAGAACAAAAATTTTGAGAGTAATTAAATCCTCACTCAAATGCTATCTCCTGCTTTGTGGAACATCTGAAGCATCCTTGAAAATCAAAACAATTCTTCTGACTGGTTAAAAAATAGTCTTGATGTTCGATTAATCTAGAAAAGTGAGTTCGATCCTCACTGGATGCCCCATGCTTTTGTTCACATCTAAAATTTTGCTTAAAATCTATACAGCAAAATGAAAAATTTGTTTTTAAATCACATGTCCCCTACGGTGATGGTCTGTGTAACCAATAAAGAAGAAATTGAATACATATATGGAATAACACAGATATATTTTATATATATTGAAAAGAAGAATTCGATCAATCAGGTTTAGTAGAGATGAACCCATAGTTATTTATACCAGTATCACTATTCCAATCTTGTAGTAATAATCAGAACGACTCTTTTTATTTTATGATCAAAATCTATTATAACTACAACAACTTAAAAAAAAACTAATGGCCCTTTAGGTCTAGTATTTACGTATGAATAGTCCATTATTATTATTCACTTCGTTTTAAAACATAAAAGACGATAGTGACCTTTTACTTTTTCCTTCATATCAGCCTTTATTTTCTCGACCCAAATTGTTTTTCATGTTCCTCCAGTCTCATTTTCAAGGTTTGTATGGCTTCAGAAGCGGCAATATATATAAACAAGAGATGGTGAAAAAGTCAAGCGTTACATCAGCAACACTAACGACAACAACGGGAAGGTAATTAGAACATTTCTTAAATTAACGTTCCAAACTTAAGATTGTAATTAATTCTAGTGGATTAAGGGTTTTTTAGACATTTTATCATTATTCACAGGATTTTATTAAATCATTAAACGCAAAATTGTAATTTCCTATGTCTAATAAAAGATAAAACCTTTCGACCTATTTTTATAGTTTAAATACATAAGTAAAAATCAATTGCCTATGCTTGATCTCCGGTGGATGCACCTATGGGCGTCAAAAAACAAATTAGTTCTACGTTCGTAATTATTATTTTTAATGGTGTGTGGTGTCCTTATAATCCTGTGCTGAACACTGAACAAAAACTAATAAAATTCTGATTTCCCTATTTTGAGACTCAATATGTGTCCCCCGAAAGGCATAGAAAAGAGAAAAAGATACTTGGGTGTCGTCTTTACGCTTGAAGGACGACACCTGCCTTAAGATTTGAAGATCAAAATGACTTTGAAAATAGTTAAACGAAAGTCGAGAAAAATTTTTATAAGAAAACAGAATACATTGAACGAATGAAAAAAAAAATCAATATATATATAAAACAATCTGAAAAGACAGAAATTTTTTTATTTTTTTTTTTTTTTTTTTTGTTCATTGGTGTTTGAAAAACTATTGCATTCGGATGTATTTCTTTTTTTTTTTTAACAAAAAAATTGCGATAGTTTCATAAAAAATCTAAAGTCATATATATTCGACAAATGCAAAGCTATTTTACATAAATCGCTTTATTCTTTTTAAATTCTTTTTTTAAAATGGTAAACAGATATAATAAATTTGAAAGATTAACTCAACGACGGAAACATTTTATAAAATTTTATATATATATATATATATATATATATATATATATATATTTTTATAAAGACATTTTTATGTTTAACATTCTTTTATAGATACAAGTATTTTAGTAAATGATCTGTTTATAATAAACAGTATTAAATAACATTTACTGGCCTGAATGTCCGAGAAATGTTCATAGAAAATATTCGTCCTTTGACAGGATTCGAACCTGCATCCTATAATGGAATCGTCATTTAGCTTGACGGGATGAACGTGCCTAAAAGAAAAAAAAGAATGTCAAGCCATAAAAAAAAAAATTGTCGGTCTTTGTCCATATATAAAAATATATTTATCAATAATATTGTCGGGCTTTATATATATATATATATATATATATATATATATATATATATATATATCAACCATTGTCTTTAACAAGTGATTGTTCCATTACACAAACAATAGAAAGGCTTTTTACACAAACAATAGGCTTTGGTTTGGAAATTTGTTTAACAAAATTTGTTTGGACAATTAAATATTCTTTCATGCAGAGTGCGATTGGTAAATTATCGCCATTTTATATTTTTTTCGCGCATTCGCGGTTTTGTCGACTTTGTCGATAGTAGAGACAGTTGGGTACCATCCGTGAGAAAAAGGACCATGACGCAATTTATTCCTAGAAAATTGGAAACAGCATGCTGCACTGCTTGGCATTCGCGCCGGAAGCTCCAATATGAACATGGGTGACAATCTGGGAGGACAGTGCAGAGGATTCGGAAAGACCTGGATGGGTCTAATGGTGATTACGAAGGTTTTTGAAGATATACTAATGATGGCGACATTCATCTTCCCACAGGGCCTCAGATTCAACTCGGAGGCCTACATCAAGTGCCTTGAGGAGGCAGTACTTCCCTAGGTCAAGACAGTGGTTGCTGGATGACCCAGTATCTGGCAACAGACAGCAAAAGAATCCAGTCATGGCTGTCAGACAATTTCTACGACCACATTATTCCTTACACCTAGCCACCTAACTTCCCAGACTTGCAACCCCCTTGATTATTGTGAGTGGGGCGCATATGAGCGAGAGACCAAAAAAACTCCTTAGAACTGAAGGCAAGGACTATGGCAGCATTCACCAAATTAAACAAGATAACTGTCCAGAAGAGTGCAGAAGATTCCACAGTCGTTTGCAGGCCGTGTTTGAATTGAATGGTAATTTTATTGAATAAATTTAGCCTTAGGTATTTCAAAGCTGCAAGAATGGGGCACCTAGTGAAGATCGAACTCACTGTTCAGTCGTAATTGATCGTGTTCGTATTAATTTCTATAGTGTAGAGTCTTTTCTCTCGAAACGCTATTCAGGCACCCTAGCGCACTTTGGAACTATGTATTTATTGTACAAATAATTTTCTAGCTTAGATGTGACACAAGGCCGAAAATATTGGGGATTGAACTCACTACTCAGTCGTAATATATATAGCCAGACAAGATATACTAACCATTATACCAGGTCGAGATACTCAAATGATTTTCTAAGCGTAACTTAGATGTTGCACAAGGCCGAAAGTGTGGAGCACCCAGTGAGGATTGAATTCACTATTCAGTCGTAATTGATCTAACGAGACAAGTTTGCTAACCATTACACCAAAATCAAAGTACCCAACCTAAAATGCTCTATTCACCCATAGATAGATAGATAGATAGATAGATAGATAGATAGATAGATGTCTCAACATTTCATGGTGCTGTGAGTCTCACACCATAAACAATCATCAGATCTGTTTACTATATTGAGCATATTTCCTTAGAAATTTAAAATTTAAAGCAAATAATAATTTACGTGTATAACCATTAAGAAAAGCGTACACATACTACATTCTGGTCACCTTTTATTTATCACCCTACGGTGACAGGATATGTCACATACGTACATTCCCTGACCATTGTCACGAGGCATCGAAATCTTCCAAACCGGCATCATTAGTGTAATAATGAAACTACTGCTGTAGAGCTGACATCCCCAAGTTCAATGTTTTTCATCTTAGGCTGTGACATACCCCAATCGTGAGTGGCCACATCATGTAGAAAGACCGATTCCCCATAGATCACCGAATTTAAGCAACGTCGAACCTGGGCAGTACCTAGATGGGTGACCGCCTGGGAATACCAGGTGCTATAAGCTTTTATGTGCGAGTGGTGTAATCAGATGAGCGAATTCAGACCCCCTTTGGATTCGTTATACTCACTTAAGGCGCAAATATCCTTGGGAAATCACCTCTTTTCCCATCCAATTATTGGTTAATTAGTAAGACGTATCACTAAATCATTATTGTCTCAAAAAAAAAAAAAAAAAAAAAAATAAACAAAAAAATATAAAATATTTTTATTTTTATAAAATGCTTTAAATAATCTGCAACGGGTTTATAAACTTTAAAAATTGAATCAATCAATCGAAGACGAGAACACAGGAAATGAGAAACTATCTAATACATTCTGATTCTATCTAAAAGACTGAAGAACAACGTTTTGATTTGCGGTAGAGTTCACAGATAAACGGATCCGAGCTATTTTTACATGCGTAAACATTATGGACGTAGAATATGCTTGTATGAAAAATAAATGACTACCATATTGTTATTTCTCTTTTTTTCTAAAATACCACCGAGTACTTCTTTCCCCCTATCTTTTTTTTTCTTTTTTTCTAGAAGGATCTTTACAAGTCAGGGTTTTAATCCTCCGTTGTTCCTTTGTCTGTTCCTCTTTTCGTCAAAGGCTTTTTTCTATCTCTATCCTGCATCCAACTTCTTTCGTTTTATTGTTGAATTGGACCAGAAAATTATATTTAAAAGTTCTCAATACACGAATAAAGAAAATAAAAATTTAACATGCATTTGGCCCGAATCGCCTGAGCATACCGAAAGGTTGAAATCATTGGTTGGCTGATATATATATATATATATATATATATATATATGTGTGTGTGTGTGTGTGTGTGTGTGTGTGTGTGTGTGTGTGTGTGTGTGTGTGTGTATTATTTTATAAAATGTTTCTATCGTTGAATCAATCTTTCAATCTGTTACCATAAGCTAAAGGACTAAAGGAATAAAGCGATTTAGTCGAAATGACTTTGAATTTATCGAATACATATGGCTTTAGATTTTTATAAAACTATCGCAATACTTTTATTGTTAGCCTTTTCTTTCTCATTTATATTTTCTTTAATTTCAATGCTATTTTTCCCGCCTTTATATCTTCTCTCTTCGGCCTCTTTTACTCGTCTGCGTTCTATCATATCATTTGTAGACCGTCTCCTGTGGGTTTCTACACACCCAAACTGCGTCACAAATATGGCTACGACAAAAAGTAAGGCCAATATTTGTTGATTCGTATTACAATATCCTTAAAAGAGAAAAGTAGTATTTAGTCATTAATATCACTGTGTATTTTTCGTAAATTTGCCTATACGTTCAAGATATTGCTAAAATAGTTAAAAGTATCCATTTTTTTTTAAATCGCCAGTCTTTCTCAAATAATGTTACCTCGTCTACGTAATTCCCCTGCTATACTTTACAAGAACCAGATCGGACCAAAATGGAGCATTGCTGCCATATCACCTTTTGGGTGATGAATAATTTTCCACCTTACAACCCCTTTCCCACAGACGAAAGGTTGCGAGCCTCTTGCTGCTCTACTCTATTTCCGTGTCATATGTCACGAGCTGTGATAATTTCCTTAGACCAGACACGTCTAAAATTTACAACTGAGACCCATCATGCCACGTACATAAGTATGAGTCATCTCCATAAGTTCAATTCGTACAGGTTCGTCCCAAGAACTGCTACTTTGTGGAACAGACTCCCGTCAGGATGTTTTCCAAATCACTATAAACTTCGCCACTTTGAAGCCTGGGTTTAAACGTTATTTTTCCTTCATAATCCCATGAAATTCACTTATTGTCTTTTCTTACACTCATACAGCACCACATAGTAATTCCCTACCTTGAGTGGCTCTTGGGCCTTGTATTGGGTGTACATCAGTATAAAAAAAAGGTAAATTGACATCCAAGCCTACCAACACTTCTGTCTGAACCACATTAGGCGTACAATCCATCTATTCTCCCTGAATCTCTGTAAGGATTGAAATTGATCTGAGCAGTCATTCTAAGTGGACAAATGTGAATTGAAACTGTTTGGACGTAAAATTTGCAACTCCAACCCGTAAAAGTGACTCGCTCCTGAAATAGCAGGAGTATTACAAACTTTGTCATTATTTCAATCGAATAAAATTGAACTGAAATCTGTCACAGCATCAGGAGTCGGGAAAGAATACAAGTCAGAGTTTAATGTAATTACTCAAAGCCAGAAAGCAAAACATATGCATATTTGAAAAAGTTAATACAGCAGTTAGAGGTACCAAGTAAGTTGTCCGACGCCTTGAGAAACACCAGTTTGGTTCTAGGACTATACATACGCGTATAAGCACGTTACATGAATCTGGTCCTGATTCATTTTCTGTCCATGTTGTTGTGTGGGTGCTGTAGGCAAATACACGATCAGTGTAGTAGCTGTGCATCCTGCGAAAAATGCCACATGCATTCATACGATATATATTATAAAATTTAGTTTTTAGGTATGCTATATTTATTAGTAAAAGTGCTCAATATCAGGGATATAGTGTGTGTAAATATAAAAGTAGACAGTGTAAAACACTGATTGGCAAAAGTCTATTTTTATGCTTAAACACAATCTTTATGGCCTGAAGATTACGTTCAAGCATGAAAACATACAGTTGTCACTCAGTGTATATATATATATAGTTTTTCTCTTGATTTCTTACCTCTTCCTTTTCCTCGTTCACATTGCTTTCACTCTCCTCCGTTCATCCTTTTCCCAATTTCTTTCTCTTTAATATTATTATATAAGCTTCTCGCTGAGAAAGTAGAACTGATATCAACTCAGAAGTACTAGAGACGAAGTAAATGCTAAATTCAGATTTTGATAAGTAATTTTTATACATACAAACTAATAAATGATTGAAATACAGAGCGGTGTTTGCCAGCCGGGGTGAAACTGCCCAGTCATGAGAAAAACTAAAGCTTTTAAAGTGGGTGATAGACCCATAATAATATCTGTCTTGCTTTCATTAAAGTGTTGTCTTGACACGTTAGAATCTACCTTTTTTTGGTTGACACAGGCGTTTAATGAGAAATGCAGAGACAAAAAGAGAGACGGACAGACAAACAGAAAGATGGGGCAAAACTGATGATACGAAAACAATTTATTCCGAGACAATAGTTTTATCCTGAATCTTTCTGAAATTTATCATTTCAGTGTAGAAGGAAACTACGCGGAAATAAACGAATCAAAATAGCAGAAAACAACGCTGAGAGGGTCAACTCCCTTTGTATTGACCTCCCACCTGTTAAAACAAAACTCGTGTAACTTCGTATCACCGGGCAGTTTTTCAGCAACTGGTTGCAATAAAACAAAATGGAAACATGGAATGTTAGGATACTATCCCAATGCGAGAAATTAGAAAAAACAAACAGGAATTGGAAAGACTAAACATCGTCGTTCAGGGAGTATGTGAACCTAGGTGGAAAGAGAGAAATGAAAGAGGAGTAGGACTGATATTAGATAAATACAAAGAAATGTGTTCTTGTTTACTAACAACGGTTGAAGAGAAGTTATTCAGTATGGCCATCATATTAGTATATGGGCCAGTATCATAAAGCACGGATGAAGAAATAGATCATTTTTTATAACATACGAGATAATGCAAAAAATCAGTGTTAATCGAAAGCAATTATCATCATGGCGGATATAAAGGCAAAAATATGAACGGAACAAGACTGTGTTATATAAGATAAATATGGACTTGGATCTCGCAATGAACAAGGAGAAAAGTAAATCCTTTGGGGCACAACGAACTACCAATTAATAAACAACAAAGAAAAAATACATTGAACTTTCGAGTAGGAAATACAAAGAACGATATAGTCTACTTAACAATCAGTAAAAGACTTAGAAATGTAGTACTATACTCTAAAACCTACCCAAGCGCCGACTGGGAGTGATCACCATGACATCTCAGTCATAGGCAAATTAATGGTTAAAGTTACGGAAATAAAAGAAGCATCAAACAACGTCTAAACAACAATACATGACTCCAGGAAGACTCCGTTTGCACACATCACCAAGAAAGCATCCCTAGTCATTTACAAACAGTTACATTAACGTCTACCGACCTCGATTAACGAATATCTTTTTAACGGAAATATGCTACTCAATAGATAAAATAAAATGTTTATATAAGTAGCAATACGGTTTTTCAGACATCTTTAGGAGAGGAATAGATAGATTCTTTTTACTTTTAAGTCAATTTAATGACCAGGGTTTCTCAGAAATCTTGTCTCTAGCTCATTTTTGAGTAAATTTAACGATCAGGATTTTTCAGGAATCCTGTCTTCAGCCCGCCCTTGAATTGGCAAACATAAAGTTTTGTTATTTTTTTTAGATATTCATAAAAATAAGGTCCTTTGAATGAATGACCATCCAAAATCTGTCTGGGTGGTTCCGCTTTCTGGTTGGAAGAACACGAGTGGACGGAAAGTGGTCATGGGTCCTCCAGCCAGTATCCAAAGAATGAAGTAGTCAGTAAAACGGCCAGGCAGTGAGTGTGCGGCGTCTGTTTTCCGTGGCCGGAACATATTGAGAAGTCCGACAGAAGTTCGCTTTCTCGTAAAAGGAAGAAATTGGTGATTAATTGAGAAATTGTCTTTTTTTTTTTTTTTTTTTTTTTTTTTTTTGCTACTTCCCTACCCAACATGTGCCTTGAAAAGCATTTATCGTTATTTCTTTGTTGGCGGCGATGATCGCCACTATCAAAGAAATAATCGATACGAATCCGTGGAACATGGCGAGCGCCGGTGTATTAACATGCATCCGACCTTCGATTTTACAGCTTGTGCAGTGGCGTGTATACTATTTTAATTAATTTTCGAATATTTTCACATCTGGAAACAAATAAAATTCATTTGGCCGAGCGTTTACAATAATTTATACATATTATGTGAAATTTCATAAACACTGAAAATGCAAAAACTTATCGCAGATCATTTAAAACGAAGAAAAATTAAAAGTGACTAATAACATCAAACGCTTTATGTATACAGAAAAT